TTCTTAATTGGGACGTCATTATTTGGTCTTTTGTATGTGTCTTTTGTATGTGTAGGGAGTCTTGTTGTACGCCCCTCTTTCAGTGTGTCTAAAGTATTTCGTACTCTTAGGGTTTTTATATTTTGAGTATGTCCTCACTCTATTTTGTGCATAGTCATTTTTGTCCCTCAAGTATTTTTCTCATGGGTGAACAGAAAAAATATATGTTAGACTGTGTTGTTTATAAACACACAAACTAAAAAATATAGAAAAACCAATAAAAAACAGTTATCCTCATTCACTTAATCAAAACTGTATGTACAGTGTATCACATAACATTAAAGTGCAAAAGTAATCATCACATAATATTAAAGTGCAAGAAGAATCATCAAGCTTTCCAAAAGGACCACATGACAGTACCATTTACATATAAAAAGTACATATTTAAATAAAAAAATCTATGTTAAAAAAAAAATAAATAAATAATAAAAAAAAAAAAAAAAATATATATATATATATATATATATATATATATATATATATATATATATATTGGATGGTATGAATACATTTTATAAAAATATTTTCCTTTTTTCTTTCTTTTCCCTTCCATTCCTCAAAAGGCTTTTTAAAAAAATCTCCTTACAAAATTATTTTCTAAACATTTTTCATAAAAAGTGACAAAGTTCAAAATCGTTATTTAGACCCCTTGGGTGTAAGGTGTCTAAATTGAATATGCAGTGCATCTCTGCTTGACCCACCTTTTTTATTAAGTCATCTCCCCTCCAGTTAGGGGTCACTTTATGGATTCCCCAAAAAATTATTTTACTTGGGTCACTGTTGTTGAAGTTTTTAAAGTGCAGAGATACTCTGTGTTTTAAAAATCCATTTCTCACATTTCTGATATGTTCTTGTATTCTAATTTGTAAAGGACGAATGGTAAGTCCAATATATAGCAGTTCACATGGACAATTAATGATGTATATTATTTTCTTAGAATGGCACGTTATAATGTTTTTGATTTTAAAACATTATTAAAACTTAAAAATTTTAAACTTATTAATCCACCAATCAGAGTGCTCTGTGTCATTATACAAAGAGTGGGAAAATTCCAAAGAACTTTCCCACGCTGTGCAAAATGACACAGAGCACTCTGATTGGTGGATTTCAAGCCAACCGATCAAAGTGCTGTGACAGGTAAATGTAGAGACTTATAGCAAAAAGAAACAAATGTAAACACCACAATATCAATAAAAAGTAGTGTTAGTCTCTTCATTTACCTGTCAGAGCACTCTGATTGGATGGCTTAAACCCACCAATCAGAGTGCTTTGAGCCTAATTGCAGGGAAGGGCAAGGCTTTATAAGCCTTCCCCCGGCCTGCAGAGCTCAGTCTGCGCGGAGCCCTCCCTGGGTGAAGATGGATTATTTTATTTTTTTTGCGTTTAGTTTTTTTTTTTTTTTTTAAGTGCGTCGGTTATTATGGTTTTTTATTTGGCCTTTTTTGGGCCTGAAAAAAGAAGATTTTAGAAGAAAGAAGACATCAAATGGTAAGTCTATTTTTTTACAGGTATTTAGACAAGTCCCCCCCCTCATTATTTTTAGGATGAGGGGGGTAGGTAGGGGTTAGTTTTTTGGGGGGGAGAGGGTGACTAAGGGTTTGGGGACCCTTAGTCACCTGGGGGGGATTTTTATTTATGGCCCCCACCCCGCTCAGGGGTGGGGGCCCGGGTGAGGACATTTTATTTAGGGCCCCCACCCGTCACCGTAGGTTCCCCACTTATTGTTATTTAGGGCTCCCACCCGCTGTGCAGGGGTGGGGGCCAGGAGGGAGGACCTTAGGTCCCCCCCTTATTGTTATTTAGGGCCCCCACCCGCCACACAGTGGTGGGGGCCAGGGGGAGGACATTAGGTCCCCCCGCTTATTGTTATTTAGGGCTCCCACCCGCTGTGCAGGGGTGGGGGCCCGGGGGGAGGACCTTAGGTCCCCCCCCTTATTGTTATTTAGGGCCCCACCCATCACGCAGTGGTGGGGGCCAGGGGGAGGACATTAGGTCCACCCCATTTTTTATTTATAGCCCCCACCCACCATGCAGGGGTGGGGGTGGGAGGGAGGACAGTAGGTCCTCCCCTTATTGTTATTAGGGCCCCCACCCATCACACAGGGGTGGGGGCAATAGCTTTTTTTTGTTTTTTTTACAGTGAGCAGCCACTGGCTGCTCACTGTTTACTAAACACGCCCCAACTCGCGTTAAAGCGAGTAGGGGCTGAATTTACTAATACTAAGTAATCATTACTTAGTATTAGCAAATGTGGCTGAAAGACCAATTTAGGTCTTTCAGCCTTTTGGTAGATAGCTCCCTAATACCGTGGGAATTAGGGAGTTGTCTACTAAGCGGCTACTTATTTTAGGTTATTTTTAAGTGATTTCCCTATCCACATTTGTTTGCAGGGCACCTGTCCTACTCTTACCCCCATTTTACTTCCATTTTATTTCAGCCCTTTAGCCCTTTCCAGGAGTTTTAGAGCCATTTTTGTGGCCAAAAGTTCGGGTGCCCATTGACTTCAATGGGGTTTGGGTTCCGGGTCAAGTTCGGGGTTAAGTTTGAGCCCGAACCTGGACTTTTTTCAAATTTTGGCCACCTGTTCTAAAGAAGGATATCATGGCACTAGAAAAAGTGCAGAGACAAGCTAAAAAATTGATAGAAGGAATGGAGCAGTTTAGTTACGAAGAAACAATGCAAATTTTAAATCTCTTTAGTTTAGAAAAACGGTGCCTCAGAGGGGATATGATAACATTTTACAAATATATTCGGGGCCAGTACAAACCATTATCTCGGAAACTATTCATAAACAGGGCTATACATAGGACACAAGGTCACACATTTAGGCTGGAAGAAAGGAGATTTAATCTAAGGCAAAGAAAAGTTTTTTTTTACAGTAAGAGTGATAAGGATATGGAATTCTCTGCCTGAAGAGGTGGTTTTATCAGAGTCCATACAGATGTTTAAACTGCAATTGGATAAATATTTGCAAAAACATAACATACAGGGATATAATTTCTAATTAGTGGGTTAATATCTGCTTGATCCGAAGAGACATATAACTACTATTTAAGGGTCAAGAAGGAATTTTTTCCAAGTTTGTTGAAAAAGTGGAAGCGCTTCAGACTAGATTTTTTTGCCTTCTTTTGGTAATCACACAGTAACTCGTGTAGGTGTGATTTATAGGCCCCCAGGACAAATAGAAGAGTTAGATAATCTACTGGCTTAGGAAATAGCTAAAATGACAATAAAGTTATAATTATGGGTGACTCTACTCTTCCTGATGTGAACTGGAAAACCAAAATAGCTGCTTCTGCCAGGAGCACACATATTCTAAACTCCCTACTGGGATTGTCTCTAAAACAAGTCATTGAGGAGCCATCTCGTAAAGAGGCCATACTATATTTAATATTAACAAATGGAGATTCGGTATTAAATATCACTGTAGGTGAAAGTTTAGGATCCAGTGATCATCAGTCAGTGTGGTTTAATATAAGAACAGGGACTGAGTCACACGACACAAAAACAAAAAATTTAGACTTTAGAAGAACAGACTTGTAGTGGTACCCCTAGGGGTAGAAGGGGTTTCACCACCAGAGACGTCCTTTACCCAAGAGTGAGAGGTGCTGTAGTAATCCCAGAGTCATCTGTAAGAGAAGCAGGAATGGCTCTTATAAGTGCTAGTGATTGTGATGTACAGTGCCTTACAAAGTATTCACCCCCCTTGGCATTTTTTGTGTTTTGTTGCCTCACAACCTGGAATTAACATGGATAGTTTGAGAATTTGCATCATTTAATTTACAGAACATGCCCACAACTTTGAAGATGTTGTTTTTTTTGTTTTGTTTTTTGTGAAGCAAACAACAAATAGGCCAAAATAACAGAAAATGTCAATATGCATAACTATTCACTCCCCTAAAGTCAATACTTTGTAGAGCCACCTTTTACGGCAATCACAACTCCCAGTCGCTATTGATAAGTCTCTACGAGCTTGCCACATCTTACCACTAGGAATTTTGCCCATTCCTCCTTGCAGAACTGCTCCCTCAAGTTGAATGGTTTGCGCTTGTGAACAGCAATCTTTAAGCCTGACCACAGGTTTTCTATTGGATTGAGGTCTGGGCTTTGACTAGGCCGTTCCAACACATTTACATGTTTCCCCTTAAACAACTCAAGTGTTGCTTTAGCTTGGTGCTACTTCTAAGTGCTGTTTCTAAGTGTGTAGTTGGAGATATTCTGGAGAGTTTTACAGAAGCTTCAACTGTCTAAGAGTTGTGCTAAGAGCTTTCTTTTCTACTGTTACAGGTAAGATTAATCTGTAGGAAAAGGTTACTGATTGCACAAGGTTTGAATTCCTGTTGGTAATTATAAGACATTTGATTTGATTAAGCTAGTTACTTGCTATTGATTGCTGGTTAATTAGCTATTGTTTGCAAATAAGCAGAGGCCTACCCAGGTGTTAAACATTCCTAGTGGGTGGTGATTTTAGGAGTTATATAAGGCTTGTTGTCATTAGCTTGTCTAATATAGCTTGGTGCTACTTCTAAGTGCTGTTTCTAAGTGTGAAGTTGGAGATATTCTGGAGGTAATCTGAGGTATTCAGGAGGATAAATACAAAGTTAAGATTTGTTAGATTTAAAGTATTCTCCTAATTGGAATGGCAAACTTAGTTCAGTGTAACAATTGCTATGCATTTGTTTCACGTTCCACTTTTTGGAGGTTTGGTTGTTGTCTAATCTGTAGACAGTTCTCTATCTTGCGGCAGGAGATTGTATTTTTGAAGTCTGAGATTTGTAAATTATCTGGTGAACAAACTCAGACTGGAACTGCTGCAAAGCCACTGCCGCAGAGACATACTAGGAAAGGCAGATGGATTACTGTAAGATCTGGTAGACTTAGAGTTGTGGGTAAAAGGCATTTTGCACAGTCTGTTGCTCTTCATAATTAATTTTTTGCACTTTCAGAGTGTAATGGTGTTGTGGAGAGACACACTGAGGCTAGTGGTGTTGTGGAGAGAGGCACTGAGGCTAGTGGTGTTGTGGAGAGAGGCACTAAGACTAGTGGTGTTGTGGAGAGAGGCACTGAGGCTAGTGGTGTTGTGGAGAGAGGCACTAAGACTAGTGGTGTTGTGGAGAGAGGCACTGAGGCTAGTGGTGTTGTGGAGACCGCCTTGGAGACTATGGTGAGGCCTAATAGAAAGCAGTTGTTGTTGGGGGATTCCATTATAAGAGGTGTGGAGATGGACAATGATGGTCTTGTGAGGTGTCTTCCCGGAGCTACTGCTCACAGAGACAGGAGACGTATCTGTAATATTGTTAAGCAAGCAAAGCAGGAAGGGGAATTGGATGTACTTGTCCATCTAGGGACAAATGACTTGGCTTGCAATGAGGTTTCAGAGATTAAGGAAGTTTTAAGTGTTTTTGCCAATGATATATGGCAGGTTGCCAGTGGCGTACACATGACCCCTGGGGCCCCGGTGCGAAAATTGATCTGTGGGCCCCCCGCGCGCGCGGGCCGGACCGCAACACATGGCGGTGGGCACCTGGTCGCAGGGGTTACAGGGCTGCGACCCCTGCGACCGCGGTATGTACGCCAGTGCATGCAGATGCACACACACTTAAAGGACCACTCTAGGCACCCAGACCACTTCAGCTTAATGAAGTGGTCTGGGTGCCAGGTCCAGCTAGGGTTAACCTATTTTTTCATAAACATAGCAGTTTCAGAGAAACTGCTATGTTTATGAATGGGTTAAGCCTTCCCCCTAATCCTCTAGTGGCTGTCTCATTGACAGCCACTAGAGGCGCTTGCGTGCTTCTCACTGTGATTTTCACAGTGAGAGCACGCCAGCGTCCATAGGAAAGCATTATGAATGCTTTCCTATGTGACCGGCTGAATGCGCGCGCAGCTCTTGCCGCGCGTGCGCATACAGCCGACAGGGAGAAGAAGAGGAGGATCGGAGGAGGAGAGCTCTCCGCCCAGCGCTGGAAAAAGGTAAGTTTTACCCCTTTCCAGAGCTGGGCGGGAGGGGGCCCCTGAGGGTGGGGGCACCCTCAAGGCACTATAGTGCCAGGAAAACGAGTATGTTTTCCTGGCACTATAGTGGTCCTTTAAAAGACCACTACAGACACCCAAATCACATCAGCTCAATGAAGTTGTCTGGGTGTCAGGTCCCTCTAGTTTTAACCCTGCAGCTGAAAACATAGCAGTTTCAGAGAAACTGCTATGTTTCACTGAGGGTTAATCCAGCCTCTAGTGGCTGTCTCACTGACAGCTGCTAGAGGAGCACACTGAATGTCCATAGGAAAGCATTGAGTAATGCTTTCCTATGGGCGGTTTGAATGCGTGCGCAGTCGCATTCGGAGCTGAGAGGCTGAGGGATCCCCAGCGCTGGAGAAAGGTAAGTGCTGAAGACACACACACACACACACACACACTTACAGACGCATACACACACATTTACTGACAGAGACACAGTCAGCGACAGACATACATACACACTCACAAAACATACACTCTCATTGACAAGCACACACTCACTAACAGACATCAAACAGACTCACTAACACACACTAGCAGACACACACACTAACACTCACACTGACACACACACTAACACTCACTAGCAGACACACTAACACTCACTCTAACACTCACACACACTAACACTCACTAGCAGACACACTAGCACTCAGTCTAACACACACACTAACACTCACTAGCAGACACACACACTAACATTCACACACACTAACACTCACTAGCAGACACACACACTAACACTCACTAGCAGACACACACACTAACACTCACTAACACTAGCAGACACACACACTAACACTCACTCTAACACTCACACACACTAACACTCACTCTAACACTCACACACACACTAACACTCACTCTAACACTCACACACACTAACACTCACTCTAACACTCACACACACTCAAACACTATTTTTTATTTTTTTTTAAATGTAATCCCCCCAGCCTCCTTACCTTTTGGAGTGCTGGGGGGATTCCCTGGGGTCCAGTGGTGCTGCTGACCCCAGGCAGGCGAGTGGCCGGTCGGGCAGGCGCGCGGGCGCACGAGGGAGCACTCAGTGTTTCCTCTTCAGCTCCCTCGCGCGCCACGTAGGGATGCCGGAGCCGGAAGATGACGTCATCTTCCGGCTCCGGTATCAGTGCGGTGCGCTAGGGAGCTGAAGAGGAAGCAGTGAGTGCTCCCTCGCGCGCCCGCCTGCCCGACCGGCCACTCGCCTGCCTGGGGTCAGCAGGGCCAGCCTCGGGGGGCCCTGGGGTGGTCGGCTCCTGGGCCCCCCGGGGAAGAGGCTGGCCCTGTGGCTACATACCGGGTCGCAGGGGCGGCCGGGCCCCCTGGTGGGCCTGGCCCGGTCGCAGCCGCGACCCATGCGACCCTGGTATGTACGCCACTGCAGGTTGCTTCCACACTGTCATTCTCTGAAGTTCTGCCTGTGCATAACACTCAGAACGACAGGCGGATGCGAATTAGGGACTTTAATTCCTGGCTTGGTGAATGGTGTCGGGAGCAAGGATTTGGCTTTATTTCTCATGGTAGCTCTGTTTGGAATGGAGATAAGCTGTACACAAAAGATGGTTTGCATCTTTCTCTAAAGGTAACAAATGTTCTCAGTGAGCAGTTCAGCGGTTTTGCTAGGATGTATTTAAACTAGGCGGGGGGCAAAAGGGTGATAAAACATCAATCCAATTGTCCCCCAAAACAAGGACAGAAGGTGCCTGTAGCAAGTGTGTTAAAAAATGATAAGCTTAGAGTCATGTCTACAAATGCTCGCAGTTTAGGGAATAAGATCCATGAACTTGTGGCAATAATGGCAACTGATAGTGTAGATTTAGTCGCTGTTACTGAGACATGGTACAATGAGAAAATGACTGGGACATAGCAATACCAGGGTACTCTTTATATAGGAAAGATAGGGAAGGCAAGAAAGGGGGAGGGGTGGCCTTGTATGTGAAGGATAGCATAAAATCTAGCCTAATAAAAGTTATTGAGGCAAACATAGAGTCCGTTTGGGCTACGTTAGAATTTGGTAATCACACAGTAACTCATGTAGGTGTGATTTATAGGCCCCCAGGACAAATTGAAGAGATAGATAATCTACTAGTTGAGGAAATAGCTAAAATGACAATGAAGGGGGAAGTTATCATCATGGGTGACTTTAATCTTCCTGATGTAAATTGGAAAACAAAATTAGTTACTTGTGCCAGGAGCACACATATTCTAAACTCCCTATTGGGATTGTCTCTAAAACAAGTTGTTGAGGAGCCAACTCGTAAAGAGGCGATACTAGATTTAGTGTTAACAAATGGAGATTTGGTATCAGATATTACTGTAGGTGAAAATTTAGGATCCAGTGATCATCAGTCAGTGTGGTTTAATATAAGAACAGTGACTGAGTCACACCACACAAAAACAAAAGTTTTAGACTTTAGAAAAACAGACCTTTCTAAAATTAGAATATGTGTAGAGGAGTCATTATCAGACTGGAGCAATTTAAACGGAGTCCAAGAGAAATGGGATTATTTAAAAGTTGCACTATTGAAGGCAACAGAAAATTGCATTAGGCTTGTCAGTAAAAGCAAAAAATTCAAGAAACCACTGTGGTACCCTGCAGATGTGGCCAAAATAGTTAAAAACAAAAAGTTAGCATTTAGGAATTATAAAAAAAACCAGAGTGAGGAAGACAAAATGATCTATAAGATTAGGCAGAAAGAGGCCAAGCAAGTTATAAGAGCTTCCAAATCACACACAGAAGAGAAAATAGCACAGTCAGTAAAAAAGGGGGATAAAACATTTTTTAGATACATAAATGAGAAAAGAAAAGTAAAACAAGGATTAGTTAGATTAAAAACAAAAGAAGGAAGGTATGTAGAAGAGGATAAAGGTCTAGCTGACTGTCTCAATGAATATTTTTGTTCTGTATTTACAGATGAAAATGAAGGAAAGGGACCTCAGTTGAGAAAAAGGATAAATGAGCCATTTATTACACATGAGTTTACAGAGGAAGAGGTTCTATTTCAACTGTCAAAAGTAAAGACAAATAAGTCAATGAGACCTGATGGAATACACCCAAAGCTATTAAAAGAGCTTAGTGGTGTACTAGAAAAACCATTAACAGATTTATTTAACCAATCATTGTTAACAGGAGTAGTCCCAGAAGATTGAAAGTTAGCGAATGTTGTGCCCATTTACAAGAAAGGTAATAGGGAGGAGTCGGGCAACTATAGGCCAGTAAGCCTTACTTCAGTAGTGGGGAAAGTGATGGAAACCATGTTAAAGGATAGGATTGATGAACATCTAAAAACACATGGATTTCAAGATCAGAGACAACATGGGTTTACTTCAGGGAGATCATGCCAAACTAATCTTATTGATTTTTTTGATTGGGTAACTAAAATTATAGATCAGGGTGGTGCAGTAGACATTGCTTACCTAGATTTCAGTAAGGCTTTTGACACTGTTGCACATAGAAGGTTTATCAATAAACTGCAATCTTTAAGTTTGGATTCCAATATTGTTGAATGGGTAAGGCAGTGGCTGAGTGACAGGCAACAGAGGGTTGTAGTTAATGGAATATATTCAAAGCTTGGACTTGTCACCAGTGGGTACCTCAGGGATCTGTACTTGGACCCATTCTCTTTAATATTTTTATTAGTGATATTGCAGAAGGTCTTGATGGTAAGGTATGTCTTTTTGCTGATGATACTAAGATATGTAACAGGGTTGATGTTCCAGGAGGGATAAGCCAAATGACAAATGATTTAGGTAAACTAGAAAAATGGTCAGAATTGTGGCAACTGACATTTAATGTGGATAAGTGCAAGATAATGCATCTTGGACGTAAAAACCCAAGGGCAGAGTACAGAATATTTGATAGAGTCCTAACCTCAACATATGAGGAAAGGGATTTAGGGGTGATTAATTCTGATGACTTAAAGGTAGGCAGACAATGTAATAGAGCAGCAGGAAATGCTAGCAGAATGCTTGGTTGTATAGGGAGAGGTATTAGCAGTAGAAAGAGGGAAGTGCTCATGCCATTGTACAGAACACTGGTGAGACCTCATTTTTGTATTGTACACAGTACTGGAGACCGTATCTTCAGAAGGATATTGATACCTTAGAGAGGGTTCAGAGAAGGGCTACTAAACTGGTTCATGGATTGCGGGATAAAAC